TTGCTTTAAAGAAAGGGGAATACTTTCTCTCATCTCGCATTTTCCTTGATGCTGAGACTTTCCCAAAGGCATAGGCTATATACACACATATCTTCATATATGCTATGAGAAAGTGTAGTAGAAAAAAACTGGCAAATTTGAAACTGTATCCAAGTCACGGAAGTGGCGCTTGTTCCCCAACACAGGCATCAAGTCAAGCTGCGGAGTAAATTGCCCCGCCGTGTCGGCTGTTGAAGGAAGAAATAAAAAAAAGGGAAAATGAAATTTTATCTTTATGACCCCGTGAAGTGAAGCCGTTGGCAACCCGCTGAAAATGAAAAAAGCCCAAACTAGTTGTGGTCCTAAAGAAAAATTCGAAGTTGAAGCAATTAAACCAGCGAAACATGACAAGGAAACTGCGTGATAGTTGAGCCTTAAATGCTTCAAGTTTTATTAACCTTTTGCCTATAAAACTCCGCTATTACATAGTATAAATTGGTTTAAATAAATTCTCCCTTCTCTTATTAAATTACATCCATTTTAAAGCCCACAAAGTGTATAGCCTTGTGTGGGCGCTTAAGCTCAAGAGATTCCATCTCTCACATTTGACAAGGGTCTAAGTTCTATAATCCCCAGACAATTATTATTCCATACAAGCTGGCAATTAATGAGCTAAAAAGGAAATTGAATTTCATAAGAAATGGCAAACTTAAACATGAGCTTTGCATTCCAAGTAGCCCCAAGGATTGCGGAATTTCTTTCGAAATTTGTCCCCAGGCATTGGTTCAATATTTATCTTTAGCAAACCATTTATAATTCAATTATGTTGATGTTTTAAGTGTGTTTAACAGTGAGAGTGGTAGATATCCTTCTAGGATAGGATACATAGCCGGCGGAAGTTTATAATTATAGGTTACAGGTGGGGGCGTTTGAATGAAAAACCCCTTTCGCCCTATTATCATCATCAACGTTGTCATTGGCCCAGGGCACGTTTCGTGTCAATAACTTACAATTAGCCCAAAGGGGAAAGGGGCGGAGGTTAAATGGGAGGTGATTGTTGGAGGGTCCAAGGGCAGGGACAGAAGGGGCGTGGCCATAACTAATAGATAATAATGACAGGAGAACGTCAAGTGCTGATGGCACTGCGGTTCAGTGTCCTTCTGCTCGCCTGCTCCACGAGATGGATGACAAGGTTCACTGAGCTATTGGTGGCCCTTAGCCTGCCTGACTCTATGTGCATGCCATTCTCGTATATATATTCATCAAGGAGTGCTAAAAATATTCTTGGCCAAAAAAAAACAAAACAAACTTAATAAATTAAAGCCAAAAGTAGCTAAGCAAAATGTGGTCAACACGCCACGTTGACGGGTCTTTTGCTATTTGTGAGCAATAGCTTCGTTTATATTTACAGAAGCATCAGGGTCAAGAATACCACTTTAATTAATTTCTTTCTTTTCTAGTTTAATTACTCTTACCAATCTTATACTTCTTTTACTTTTGCTTAAAGCTCCTTGAAGTGGCCATAAAGCCAATGGTCAAGGGGTCTTACAGAAAAGATGGTAAAAGTAAGGGAAGGGAAAAGACTTAAATAAAATTTAAAAGAGTGAACTAAATGAATAGTTAAATCAGAAATGTATATAAATAGTATAGAATTTCAAATTATTTAAAGTCTCTACTTTAAGTAATATTAAATACTGTACTAAAAGAGTTAAGGAAGATTATTATTTATAGTCTTGTTTAGTAACTAATAAAATAATATGGTTAAGGAAGATCTTTGGCTACTGCAACTCCTTTTTCTTCTCATTAAATTATCCCTAAATACTAAGCCTACAAAATTAAATTATGACAATCTTTTATCGCAATCTAAACCCAACTTATGTTTAAAAACAATTTAAGTATCAGTCTCAATGAAAAAGGATAAGTTCCTAAAATTGAAATCCCAAAACCTCACAAAGCCTCCAAGCTTAACTCGCACCTCAACAATTTAACTCTGGTGTTTGGCTACCCATTTTGACCATTCGTTAAAATTGTGTTGGCAATAAAAATAAATTTAAGTGAAGCGAAAAGTTTTTTATGCGCGTTAACCATTTGGAAATCGAAACCAGGAGAAATGGTGGGTGGATAGCAAGTGCTCCTCCGGCCAAGAAGAGGCATTAAAAGTTCAAAATTCTACTCAAATTTCATAGAGCTTCTTTTTTGGCCCCGAAAGCCACTTCAAAGTTTCCCGACATGCGATTGCAAAGCTGGCATTCCCAGAGCAAGGAGAGATATATATGGGATATATTGAAGACGCCCCCAGAAAATGCCAAGTCCTTTTTGTCAAGCACAAGGAGTGGGAGCAGAAAGCAGGTCCCTAGAAGGTGGAGAAGGATACGGACCAGAGCTTATATTTATAATCGCCTTCAACGCCATCGGGCGCACAACATATTGAAATTGTCTCTCTTTGGCACATCGGTTCAATGCACCACGTCGCCTATGCAACGTGATTTTAAAACCCAAAAATGGTCTGGTTTTTAGTCTGGTCAAAGTTGAATGGTCAGCGGCAAACTTGAAGTCAATGCTCAGGGTGTGTGTGTGTTTTGCCAGGCGGTTAACTGGTAATTTAATTGCCAAATGCAAATTCCAAATCCGAATCGTAGTCCCCTGTGCTCTGGCATCATAAAGAACACCGGCTTTCCCAGCATCCAATTAGGCGCCGCTGCTCCAGGTGCGACAGACACGGCGGCGGCGTGGCATATTTTTCTCTCGAATTAAACAAGGGCCCCATCTTGGCCGTTTGAGATGGTGAAAGTCCAGAAAAATTACATCAATTTGCATACCAAGCGAATTATTGTCACGTTAGTGACTTGAAAAGGGGACCGTCCAAGCAGAAAAAAAGGTTCATCTGATGTGTGATTGTATTTTAAAGGAATTCGAGGAATTGTTGCTTTATTTGAGAAAGGCTTTGGAATGTGTGAAATATTTGTAGGAAAACTTCATGTAATCTGTCCCCTTGTTTGGGGGGGGGAGGGTGGGAAAGCTGTCTGTGAACATTTTCCGGGAAAATAGGGAGGTATCTACACTAACCATCTGCTCCTGTTGAACATTAGTTAGAATATAAATACAATGATAGCTATTTTGTATACATCAAAGATATTTAGTCCTATGTAGAGATTGAAGTAATATCATGCAATCTTTAAAAAGCAAATAAATTGCCTAACTTTTGGCCAACATTGCGGATGAGTTATTTGTTGAAAAGTGCGTGGGACAATATAAGCTGTTTAGAGGCGTAACGCGTACCCATAAGAATTAAATTAATTTAATTAAAATTGTACATTTTTTTACATTTTAATTTACGTACTTAAATTTAACATATTTAGGGAAACCTTTATTTTCTTTAAACTTTGTAGCATATTCAATATTTCCGCCACCACGGCGTATGAGTTATTTTATTATACATATAAGCAAATAAAATACATAACCACTTAGGATTTGAGAAATATGATGGTTTTACATACTAAGAAAATCCCTTGTGTTATTTAAAGTTTCTTTTATTTTTAATATTTCATAACTTATCAGTTTATATATATATCTCCCGTTGTGGCATCGCCAATCTGTCCACTTCCCACACAATTCTTGGTCACTTTCTGCCAATTAGTGTGTCTCGTTCGCTTAATTATTATTATGGGACAACATGCGGCGCTGGTGCGACAAAGTCAATAACTGATTGTCAATAACGACCTGAACACATGTCGCACTGCACTTAATTATCCACATTGATTTTATGAGCAAACCCTACGTAACACAGCCTCAATAAGCCAGCTAACCAACCCGCATATGAACTTATCTCGATATGGCCAAGGGATTTTAGCCAAAAAAAAATAAAATAAAAGTAACCACACAAGAGGAAACAAGAAACCACAATCGCAAACTCGTTTCAAGGCGGATGCCGGTCCTGATTAGCCTTGGCAACAAGTTGAGGGTTTTCCTTGGGTTTTGCACTTGGCTGCACATCTGAGCCAAATAAAAAACCCGAAATAAACATGACAACAATGTGGTGCTAAAAATTGGCAAAAGAAAAATGAATATAACCATTGTGGCAGACCAACAAATTGGAAAGCAAAGAAATTAACATGACTTTCATGGGAAAGAAAAGCCTGCTTGCAAAGGGAGTTTATATATTTGTAGGCTTTGAAAAAAGAAATAAAACCACAAGAGAGGCTAAGAAATAAGCCCAAGGAAAAATTCTAAAAATATAATATAATAAAGCAAAACTATTAACCACATTTTTGAAGCATTTGAATGAATTTATATTCGAAGCTTGACTAATAAAGATAAACAATTTAATCTGTTTGATTTAGCCATATCAACCAAAGAATCATTTAACAAAAGAGAATATAAATCATTTCTTAATATTTGTATACCAAACAAACAGCGAAATGACTTACAAATAAAATATAGATAGAGAACCTTTGATATCTGAGCCGGAATAGTGGTCAATAAATCGCAAAGGGCAGACGAGAGCTCTTTAAAAACAGCTTACAAGGACGTAAGGCCGGCATGTCCTGGCTCCTGGCTCCTGGGTCCTGGCTCTTCCACCCATCTCCCACCTTGGCAGAGTTGGCTTTAATAATGTTTGTTGCCTGTCTGGACATTGGCAACATTTTAGGCCACAGAGTCGCCTGTTCTTGGGGGAAACTCAATAAAAACTGCAAAAACCATCAGAATGCAGATAACGAAGCTTAAAACTGAGAGAATTGTATGCCTTTTAAAAGCAGTAAATTCTTTAGAATAAAAATATCAAAGAATCCCTTTGGACTACGCCTCTTGTCTGCGCCATATGGCAAAGCCATAAAATTAATTCATTTCTTTTCGCTTAATTGAATTTTCTTGTATTAAGACCTCTGAATGAACTAAGAGACTCGTAAAAATTGAATACATTTTGGGAGAGCAATCTCTGGATCTGTGTAAGTTTAAAGGGAATTTAATTTGAAAAGTTTACTGACACATTTTCAGAATAGTAAAGCTACGTAGGCCTAAGGTTTACCTTCAACTTAATTCAGAGTTAGAGCTCACATTACTACTTTCTATATAGTTGAAGGCACAAATAAAAATCAACAAAATGTCTCACAAGGTAAGAATACATTTTTGTTTTGTTTTTATTTTTAAAGAAAATACTTTCTTTGATATTTTTCATAATGTAGCCACCGGAATTCAAGTTTCCCATGCACAATATGCATTTTAAACAGTCAATGGGTATATTGAGAAATGCCTGTTTACTTGCCTTAGGAGCACCAATTCTATTGTACATGTTTCACAATGCACCTCACCAAAGGAAGTACACTTCCTTCTACTCGAACTATGATCCCTTGGATGCATTTGATCGCATGATGAGCGGAGGCTACATTAACTCTTTCCCACCTGGCAGTGGACCCAAAAAGGATAAGAAAGATAAGAAGAAAAAGAAATAGATACGGAATTCATTAACAAGACGGGGCATATATCTAATCAACACTGCAAAGGAGATCTTACACGAATTTGAGTTCTAAGAAATGACAAAACACAATCAATTATTAAGCTACTAAAGCTTAAAAGGAGCATTGCAAACAAACAGCATAGATAAGGATAAAAGATTATCTATCTGGACCAATATTTCAACACAATTTAAACATTTTTGGACCGAAATGAAGTTCGAGAATTAATATAAATTCGAAAAGCAACAACATCTCCCTGTGATGACCATAAACATTGAATATAATTTGAACATTGATAACTATAGTGTTTTCTTTTTAATGTTGATAAATGGTACTATTATTTGTATAAGAAAGTTGAGTACTTCAAATGGTGAAATGAAAAAAATATATACGGTTTAAAAATAGGTTCTCAAAAATACCCTAAAAATGGGTCTGGAAAAGTGATTACTTGTAGTGTAAATTGGTATCCTTGCATTTCATATTTTAAGAGTTCTAAGAGGCCATGCTGATTTCTGAATCACTCTGGTTTATATAATACTGTACTTATTATAAACCAATTCTGAGAAAACTAATACTCTAATAGAGATATGGAAAATCTTCCAACAACTCCCTGTAATTTTCTCTAATCCCCAGCAATTCGCAAACTTGTCAATAATTTGTAGCATTACTCTCAAGCGCATCGTGGAACTTTTTGGCCGATTTAGCCACAGTTAACCAGAGCCCAGAACAGGAAATACACACAAATCCACACACATATATGTATATGTGGGGAAATGGGAAGCGGAAAACACTGGCAAGCATGTTGGCTGAAAGTTTTCAAATCAAGCCACAAGCCGAGGCTGCCTTCAGTTACCCAACGTGGCTGACAGGCTGCGACAAACACGCAGACAGTATCGAAAAATGAAACTTTCTTCGTGGCAGGACACCAACCACAAGGGCCTCAAATAATGCAAGAAATGCATAAAATTTCAATAAACTTTTGTCATGTTAACGAAAAGGGCTTCGCGGTTACGTTTGTGAAGACACGGAAAGAAATTATAGGACCACTATCAATATACACTTAAAATCTCAGAAAACATTTCCTTAAGACAGCCTCAAAGGGTTTGTATGATTTTAAAGTTAACTATAAAAAATATTTTATTTAAAGACTTATGAAAGATATTTCTCCCTCTGCATAAAAGGCTTGTCATGGGTGCTCCTTGTGGTGGAAATGCAGCGTCAGTAAAATGGAGAAATTTATTGCAGGGCCTCGTCGACATCTCACACTGTCACGCTGCAAACACAGGAAATACTGTTGTTTTGGGTAGAATGGTAAGGTCCTTTTCCCGAGCTGTATGCCTCAGGGCCAAGGACTATTTATGCACTGAGCAAAGCCTCTAATTATCCACTTTCAAAATAAGCCCCCCAAAATGTTCTTCATCCGAACTTGTGCTCTCTCCAAGAACATGGACAACTTTTAGCATTTGAACTTAAGCTGCTTACCCTCGCTGGCTGGCAATTTTTTAGCAAACATCAGCCGAGCTGAAAAGTCCGCTTCCATCTATCCGCCTCTTGACTGCTGTTGCTACTGGTGCACTTGCCGACCTCCTGGTCAGGATTCGCCCACTCGATCCCAGGATGCCAGGACGTGCCCGGCGTGTAGAACACCTTCAGACAGGCAGACCGCAAGTGCTGCAAAATGTTTCTAGAAAAGCAGCAGCCATCAGTTGAAGGCGAAGTAATTTTTAAAGTCGCCAAAGGACTACGCTTTAAATTTGATTTTTTATCTACCTTTGAGGATTAAGAAAGAAGCTAAGGTTGGGGTTTTGGTAAGTGGTTTTTGATTTGCTTTACAGAAGTATTTAATTTTTAAGAAACCAGTATTTGGTTTGGAATTACCAAAGATTTCTTTGCCTCTGTAAAGTCTATAAAATTAAACACTCCTTAAATATTCCTGATTCATTTGATAAGGAAAATACCCCTGAAATTGTAAGGTACTCTTTGAGTACTTAAAAATAAAAATTTGTCTGAGCTTTAGTGGCCACAATCGACCCACAGTTCCACAGGCTGTGGCTATTTTGCATTTTCCTGCCACCTGCCCACGTAAACAGAAATGTTTTTGGACCACGTCTTGCTGCCACCCAAAAAGTATGTCTCAGGGATTTTTGTCTTCTACATTTTTATTTCTTTTTTTTGTATTTTGCAAAGGCAAGACAACATTTTTATAGCTGCTCATGGGGGGGTTGGAGAAAAATGGGCATGTTAAGTGTTGTTTGCCATTTCTTTTATATTATTCTACCGTTTTTCGGTTACACCTTTTACACGTGTTTAACTTGACCGAGATCTTCTTCTTTTTTTTCAAGACATTCTAGGTGGTGACCCTTTTTTGGTAGCAATATAGTTTGGGCCATGTTTTGCTTAGATATTTCTCATTTTTTAAGCCGAAACGAATATAGGTTTTATTTATTTTGAAATGAGACCAGCATGAACTCGCTCTGGCTCCTTTCATTGCATTAAGGAATTGTATTCATTATTTTATTAAATATAAATAAATAATAACAAAATTTTGACCTAATGTTATTTAGGTATCAAAATATTAAAGCCACTTTTACAGAATTTAAGCTAGAATTTATCCACACACTCTGTTGCATATTTAATATTTATTCCCTGGCCTTGGGTCATGAGCTTCATTTGATATCAAATTCTCTGACCCAAAATGTATACATTTTTTTCCTAACTTCTAGATTTAACCGATTGGAAGGCTTCTTTTTTTGGTATCTATGCTGGGCCATAAAATTACATTCTGTGCATAAAAATGTGAGCCGAAAACATAGACCAAAATGTTTTATGACCGGGCCATAGTTGTGCCTGCTTTTTCTTTTTGTATCTAATACATTTTTACGAGCTATCCCGAAAGCCTGCATTTAGCCTGGAGGTCCTGGAGGCAGGAGTAATTGCATAATTGCCACTTAGCGTGTCTTCGACTCACACAGCTCATTAAACCCTTGTTGTGGCCGGGATGCAAAGTTTGACAAATTGCTGTTAAGAGGGGGGAGGGGGGAAAGCAAATGATGGCCCAATTGGACGCCACCCAAGCTACCAAGTCCCAGGCAGGCAGGCTTCGATAAATCAAGCTGGCAAAAGGATTTGTGCACTGACTTGAATTTGATGCATTTAATGGAGGGTTGGCGTCACAAACGATCGATCCAGAGGCCTGTGGTGGAATGGAGGTGGTCTTTTGGGGCAAATTGCAGTTTGGCAGCTAGCAAATTTTGCAAATCCGGAGTCCTGGAGCCAAAAAGCAGACAACATTTTGCATTATCCCCCCCTCAAGATATATTTATGAGGCAGGCGGCAAAATGCCGAAGGCATTGATTTATTTGCGGAAAATCGTTTATTAGAGCAACTTGCCGAGGGAGGCCAGGGCCAAAACAAGGCTCACAAATGAACACGCAAAATGCTGATGAGTGAAGGAAGCCCCTCATATCGAACAATTGAACTTTCTGATTGAGTCGAGCATTGCAAGTGGGGAGAAAAGCGGAATTACGATGAATATTGCACAATGCTACTGGCACATTTGTCAGGACTTAAGTGGGCTGAGGAGGCAGGCGAAATTGCACTTGAAGGATTCACAGGAAATTGGACCAGACCCTGTCGCTGTAATATGAAAGGATAAAGGAATACTATAGCATTGGTAGTCTTTCTCCTTGTTAAAAGCTTCTAGAAGAAAAGTAGTGTTGAATGTCCCTATAATGAATTCTTAAAACCGGAAATACGGGGCAAATATTATTTGAATTGATACTTGAAATAGTTAATTCATGAGAATTAAGGTATTTTCCAATAAAGATACTTAGTTAACAGAAAAGGGAACTAACTTCTCGGAGCCGAAGTTTATATATCCTTGCAGTTTGACATGGAAGAAGAGGATCGAATTGGAAAATTATCATAACTAAGCTTCAAGTACACACATTTTTAAATATTCATATTCATGTTCATCTATATATATTTATAAGGCAATTTTCCGACAAATCAAATTTTAAAAATCTCATTACTAAGCAAAAAAAGCATTTATCTAAATTCAGAACCCGCTCCTATGCTAGTTTTAATAAGGTTAATAAATCTGCATACTCAATTTAAAATATTAGAAAATTGAATTTTTTGCCAATTTTTGGCAATTTTAATAATGTAACCCCTTAATTTTTTTTTTGCAAAAATTGATATATTTTTAAAAATTTCGATTTCTTCCAGACATGCCTAGATCGACTCAGCTGTTGATGCTGATCAAGAATATATATGATTTATAGGGTCGGAAATGACTCCTTCACTGCTTTTAAGGCTTCTGACTGAAGAGGTATAGAGGATGTTTAGTAAACCTAATAAAATCTTTCATCTCTCAATTATCTCATTCTAAATTTAACAATTTCGCCCTACTTAGAATTCTCGACTGTCTAGATATCTTTGGAATTTCCCAGTTTTGTTTAATGCCACCTCTATAACGAAAAAATCCGACCTCCGAATGCCTTTGCAGAAAACCAGTGTAAATGCAGGCCAAAGGACCGCATTCCGCACAATGTGGCCCCATACATATACCTTTTTATTTATTTATTTTATATTTTCCCTCCCCCCCGCCCCAGTTTTCCTTCTTTTTAATTACGAGCGCGCTGACAGGAGCACGGCAGTGACAAGAACAAAAACAACATTCAGCAGGAGCAACTGCCAGATAATTTCAGTCGCGCCAAGTTGCCTTTCAGTGTCGCCGCAGCTGCTGTCGACCTTTGGGAAGTGATTGCAGCCGTGACAACTTAATTTAAAAAAACGAACTATCGTCGAATTGCTGCACAATCTGGGGGACTTTAATTCGGTTAACCCCATCGACCCCAAACCAAGTCCGGTAGTGGCAATACAAATGACTGGTGTTATTTTTTTACTGCTCTTTGGTAAACCATTGTTGCTGGGCACAGAGGGCGTTAATAATGCCACACGTCGAGGTGAACAACAGCAGCGATGCATAGCTGATGGGACAGGTTGGTCATACACAAGGAATAAAAATCATGGGAGAGAATATTTAATGTTTAAGAACAAAAATATGACTAGAAAGGGCATTAAATTAAAGAGATATAAATGGAGATTTAAGGTTTCATAAGACCTATTTTAGTAAATAACCATTTTCTAGATTTTGCGTCTAGTTTGAGTTCGTAATATAATAACTAAAGGGTTGTATGATACACTCTACCTCTAAAGGATTCTATTTTTATTTATATGCTTTGAAAAACAACCTATAAAATCTTAATTTAACAATGATTCTTGCCAGTGTAGCTATACCCAGAGCTTAAAACAATGGCAGCACATTGAACCCCTTGCCCAGACCCTCAAAATCCAACTCATATACCCCACACACATTCTAGCGAAACGCTCTCTTAGCCGTGTTTATGCGATTTAACAGATTGAAAAACAAGTCGATAAACGAAAAACGAAACAAAAAATATAGCAAACCAAACCAAAAACCCAAAAAGTGCAGTATCCACTGAGGACTGCAAAAAAAAAGGCAAAACAAGAAAAATAAAACAAAAAGGGATTTATGGGATTTGTGGCGAAATGCAGCTGGAGCTCTATTTACATGTTTTTTTTTATACATATTTGTTTCGTGTTTTTGCCAGAAGAGCATTGCATATGAAGATTTTAACAAAGGGATAATATATATGTTGCATATTTGGTTTGAATTTAAAAGTAAAGTGTAAGGAAAAGATACACAAATTACAAGATTGTCCTTTAAATGCTAAAAAAAACTATTCGAGATTCCAAGATTTTAGAAGAAATAGAAGAAGAATAGAAGAATAGAAGAAGAAAAAGAATACACATATGGTATTCTTTAAAAATCAATAAGCTATTTTATAATACTGAAAATCCAACCAAATATCGTTTAATTAGCAGATAAACCTTGCAAACAGTGACTTAATGTTGAGTCAAGCCTCTTGATAAGGGTAACAAATATATTTTTAAAGCAGCCGAATTAATTAATATTTAAGTATAAAATAACAAAATTAAGTTCTATATCAGCCCAAATTTATTTACATATAACTTATACAAAAATTCTTGTAAATATTTAAACCAGTGGTTTTCCTACTTTTAAATATACCAAAGGATTACTTAACTCATGACTTAGGATTCATCTTTAATGTCAATTCATAATTTCCCTCATCTTTTCCTTAATACTTATGTATGTACATTTGAACCCATGCCATACCTTTGTGCTTTCAACAAAAAAGAATTGGCCAAAGTAAAACCCCTTTTCACATAGAAAAAACCCCCCAGGGAGAGTGCGGCACGAAAATATACTTTGAAGATGTGTTTCTCATAGGAACCCTTCTTTCCGCAAATTTCATTTCTGTTTATGCACGCAAAGAAATAAATATGTACAAAATTGAAGGGAAGAGAGTCGTGAAATCAAATCAATGAAAATTATTTATTTTTCCTGGGTAATGCTGCTATTTTGTAGAAATTTTCTATAACTCGCTCCAAGCTTTGATGTGGGGGTTGCTTGTGGATCAAATAAATAACGTATACGCCATGTGAGACCGCAAGTTCTGGCCTCGCTTAAAGCCAGAGCCTTTTCTAGGGTATCCTTTTTTAAAGGAAAAGGAGAGAGCTATTGGAGGAGAGTAAAGGAGCTAAGCACTTTTCCACTTTGTAGCAATCTGTCCGACAACATGGCGTATGCGTAACGTGCGGCACATAACTCAAATCGCCGAGCATATTCATCTTCATATGCAAAGTAGATTTATGTCGCATTTCTGTACTTGGCATGCTCTTTTCGAGCTCTGCCGCCTGCCATTTGAAATTCCCCCAGCGTGTCGACATATTCAGCTTGTTTGTTGATTACGCCGGCATTTCCTTCAGTTTTCCTTCTCTCTATGCACGAGTATTTTTCCGGCACATTTTTCGCTTTTGGCAGAAACTTAAAGTCAGCGCTTGTGGCTCATAAATTATGTTAACAACGCTCACGCTCACGCTTTCGCGTTCGTGGTCACATCACAATTTTTTCTATTTTCTTCTCCTGTTTTCCCCCTCCCCTCACCATTTTCCTTATATTTTTTGAAGTTTTATTTCGTTGCTATCTATTTCTGGCCTGCATTATTTAATTACTTAAGTTCTTGTTTGACGTTGGGGCAAACAGTAGTGCACGTGCCTGAATTTTTGACTACAAACTTTTTCCAAATAATGGAATTGTAAATTCTCAACCTACGTATGAGAAGTTGGAAGTTTAGACACGTTCTGGAGGAAAAGATTGGAAAACAAATACAGGATACAATGTTAAGGTCAGAATTTAAGTTTGGCAATGCGTCAGAGTTGAGTTTCGGCTTCCCCAAAAAGGGCTCAATTATTAAAATTGGCCATGTTTACAGGCTTTGGTAACTCATATCCAACAGACCAGGAGGAAGTGCATGCCGCAAGCTGGCTTGCATTTAATTAAAACATCATAAATTTCCGTTGACAAACAGAGGAACTTTTGCAACAGCAAAAACTTTTCGTTAGATTCAAAAACTTCATTACGTTTTTCGGCCAAAGAAGCTGACCAATAAGGGAAAAATGTTATGTTGGTCAGAATTGCAGCAGGAATTTTAAGTTCTTTATTGAATTTCGTGCGGAAAATAGCAAGCTATGACAAAATGCTGGGAAATGAGGCAGGCAGGCAGGAAGGCAGGAGGCCGAAATAAGCCACAGGCCACAGGCCATGCGGCTCATAAAGTTCTGGCAATGCAGGACGACGGTGCATGGCGCATGCCACTGTTGACACAGGACGAAAGCCATGTGAGGTCAACGGAAATCGGGGGTTTCCACTTCCTCTGCCACACTTGCGTTGTGTGTGTGTGTTTCTGAGTTGGCCATATTGCTCACTTTGACAGCCAATGATTTCGGTTGCACTTTTGGTATTTTACGCTTTACTTTTTACTTTCAATATATAAGAAACTTATCTTTCTGTTTAAAATCGAGGCAGTTCTGCTTAATTTCTTGTATAGTTTATTTCGAACTCGGGTATTTAAGTTCCTGGAAAACTTGTCATTAAGTTACTTACAAACCGAAAAGGAAATCAGCATCTTTCAAATACTATCCTAAATGAAATAGGAATTTATGAGAGTTCATTAAGATTTTTTAATTTATCTATGTATATTCTGAAATATGATTTACTTAAAAAAGTCAGAAGTTCATAATCTAATTCCCATTTTATATATAAAAAACTTATATTAAAGATGCATTGTATATTATTTCCATTACTGATTTTAATCTTCTGCCACAGTTTTCTCCCCAATAAAATCATTCTTAAATAAAAATCAAGCTATTTCAAGCGTAAAGTGACCCGACCATTAAAGTTGTCAGCTAGATTTATGCGTTCAGTTAAGTTTTGTCCAAGAAATGCCAGAAAGTAAGTTAGTTTTGAGAGTGCCCCTGGGGAATTAATCAGTTACAATGACCTACCTGTAAGGCATTTCGAACCAAAAGTCCTGTTGCCGTAAAACTTTTATTGAGGCGATTGTTAAAAATACTTTTGCTTGTTGGCTGCCAACTTTTGTTTCGGTTCCCTTGTGTATTTCAGACTTTAACTTTAACTCGAATACTTATTTCTACACAGAGTCATACCCTGCATTCAATATTCATATGCTGCAGCATAATTTTCGCTGAGAGCGAACACTGACTGCGCATAAATAAATAATATGAAAATGGCCACTATGGCAGTGAAATAAATAATTGGAAAAGCAAAACTGGACACCAGTTTTACAAGCTTCCTGGATTTCAGATTTCACATTTACTGTACCCAACATTTATTTGTGTATAAAAAAATGTATATATAAAGATAAACTTTAATTCCCTTTGGAGTCTAAAACTTCTGGCGACATGTCAATAAAAATGATTGCTCTGCAGTGCCTAAAAATATAGAGAGCATAAAAAAGGGCCAACGCAAAAATCATATACAGGTCAAGACAGGACAGGAAACTTGCCGCAGGACCACAGGACCACAGGACCCTGTGGACCAAACTGACAGCCTTGCCACAAAACTTTGACATGCCTCGGAGTGTGGGCTTGAAGCAGGAATTGGAAGTGTTTTCCGTTTCCTGAACTCCTTGGCGATTTCAAGTGAGATGTGAATGACAGAATGTGAATAGGAGTGACATAAATCGAATATGAAAAAGATAAAATATGAAAAATATTAACGAAACATAAAATGTTGAAGAAATATAAAGAACACTATGTTTATGAATTTTTAGGACGGCTAAACAATTAAATGCATTTCGTAACTTTGAATTGATATTTGGTCAAATAAATATAATATATGTCTTGCATTTTTCTATGCCTTAAATTGCTGAATCACTTTAAATTACACTTAAGTAATAAATAGCAATAAGGAAGGACCTAGGCCTTATACCTCATATAGCATTTATATAAGTGACATAATATAATTGTCATTGTTCAGACTTACCCCAGTTGAGGACACACATCTATCCGTCTTCATTATTGTTGACTTCCTTCCTTCCTTTTCGATGACATCAATTAGGTTTGATCTTCTTTCTGGTTATCCATTGCTTTGGTCAGGTGATATTGTTCGGTTCCAAGGGAAATCACTATCACGATCACTTTCACGATCACTTTCACGATCACTTCCACGATCACCATCGATGCAAACAGTAGGGCGGCCACGTACACACTGAGGACAGCGCGGCTTAAGCGCCTCTATTTATAGTCCCCGAGCAAAGAGAACAGCGAAGCTGAGAGCGAGAGAGAGAGATATCAGTCGAGCTAGGCAGAGAGGGATAGAGAGTAAGGGAGCTAGAGCTACACAGAGGGAGACAGAGATGCCGCATACGATACAGATCAAGAGAGAGAGCGGGAGAGGGAGAAACAGCAATTCACTGCCATGACAACATTGCTTAATTTGTAATATAAATAATAACCATAAGTAAAACAATGTTTCCGCTTTAATAAAACCTTAACTAAAACAATTATCCGATATAATCAGATGTGTCTATATATATCGGCCACAATAAATCCATAGCTTAGTCTTCTTCGACTTAAATATAAATATGAAACTTTTAGCTTTTCTGATTCTCAGTCTTTATATTGTTTGTGTCTCAACTCAAAAGGTATGAATATTTAATTTTAATGCTATATATATTTTATTTTAAAATTTATTGTGTTACAGAAATTCAAAAAAAAGGTATATAATGTCTGATATTCAAATAAAAATATTTTTAAATGAATATAGTTTTCATATAATTATAGATAGAAAGATGCGTTCGATATTGTACAATTAACTACAGACCTGTTTGTGCAACCAATGGACTATGCATATATGAGTTTAAAAATCAGTGTTTAATGGATAACAATAATTGCGATAACGTTAAGAACAAAAAGCCAGGTAATTAAGATTGATTTCGAATAATAGAGTAATTTAAAATACTTCATCTTTATATTTATTCAAGTATTCAAATCGGTTCCCTTGGCGCTATGCTACAAACCGGACAACCCTTGTCATCCTGAGGATATATTTTCCGAATAAATATAAAAACTGTACTACTGTACTTAAATCTGTTTACTTTTCTTAACCAGTAATAAAAACATTTCAACACCCACACACACAGACAAATTGAGGTTTACAAAACCACAGAAAATGTTAAGGAAAAAAACCTAAGGAAATGGGGAGAACCCTCATTTCCAGACGGTAATTGAGACTGACATGCCAGACTGGTATGAGACAGTGATAACTTTCCGCCAAATTAGACTCTCAAGGACATCTTCCTGCGGCCGCCCCTAATCACTGTGTGCACAGTCAGCGGGCTTTTATTGAGCCAAAACCCCATATGGTTTAAAGCTTTAACGCCTCGGCTCACTTCATATCGCCATTTTGGCGTACGCTCTATAAACTTTTATTGGCCTGCCTAAAACTGGGGCACATTTTGATTGACACTTTAGTCGTTAATGTCTTAAAGGCAACTGCACTTGGATAAGAGTGGAAGTTGCCTGTGGCAAAAGGATTTTATGTAAACAGGATATTTATAAGTGGAAATCGCAAAAGTTTTCATTGACCACAACGTTGGGTTGCAAAGCTTTTTGTTGAGACCGGAAACGGAAGTCGCAAGTTCACAACAAAACTTGTACTTCCTTTGATTGTTAAGTAGGAATATTCAAGGCGATATGAGCAATATATTCACTATAGATGTTGCATAAATCATTTTAATATAAGTGAAAGTGTTGATAAAATATAATTTAAGTAAAGTAAAAATATTTAAAGAGGCTTTTTGGGATCTTTCAAGTTATTGAAGTATTTCAAATGTAGAACATCTTGTTTTCTTTTAATTATCCTTGAATAATGTTGTTCCGCTATATTTATATTTGATATACATATATTTGAAAAACTGGTCTCTCACACCCATCGCACTTACTGTAATTAAATTTAATTTCAAGAACTCAGCCCTGTGTTATATATATAAAACAGAAAAACTTTGTTTGGAAAAGTCATAAAGGTCAACAAGTTTTTATTTTTTTGTGCGCCCGAGACATTCATATGTGTGCGGCCTGAATGCGACATGCTGAAATATTTTCCACACAATAAAATTACAGCATAGTTTTTAGACCTCGTCGCTCTTCGCCCCTCTACCTTCTATGCCCCTCTGACCTCTCTTTAGCCGCGTTTCCGCCTTGATGCTGCCAAACAAAAGGCACCCGGGAGGCCGCAAAGTTGAGCAAAATGTCGAGCCGCCGCTAAAATAAACTGACACTCGCACAGCACACACAGGACACACACACACACACACACACCCATGTCGTCATCAGTTACACACACTTTCAGGGTGACGTTAGACGCGCGAAAATGTTCGCCTTCCGCTCGCCATTTTTGCGGCCAACGCGTCTCTGAGTCGCATTTTCATTAATTTAATTTGCCAAATGCGGCGTAGTTTTTGGCAACAAACTGTTAAATAGTCGACCCTGAGATGGACTTTATTTTAATATAGTTTTAAATGAGTCTTACTTAAAACATACATAGTAAAGTATTCTATATTATATTATTATTTTCTGCATTATTTAATTATTAATATATTTAATGGTAGGACTTAAGTCAGCTGCTTAAAAAAGGATATTTTGTTTTGCTACTTGAGTAAGGTTAACCGATAGGGTATATTTATAGTGGGTACACTTGACTGTAATGTTATTTGAGTTAAGAGAAAAGCTATTCTTATTGCTGTAAATTATTATGTAAATTATTCCCAAAAAGAAAGAAAACTAACCTCGAAAAGCCGAATTTTATATATACCCTTGCAACTTTCTATCGAACTAAAAGACCAAATCAAATATCTATTATAATTTTTTGAATCAATAATTATTAGTAGTTTTAGATGACCATTTTTAAGAAAAATAAAATTTAGAATTCTCATAACTAAGCCAAAAAAAATAATTAATTTCCATTGGGAAAGCTTTTCTATGTTAGTTATCAAAAGGTTAAAAAATCTGCATACTCAATTTGAAATTTAAATCAAATTAAAATTTTCATCATTTATTTTTACAATTTTAACGATGTAACCCCTTGTAAAATTTTGAAAACTAAATTTTTGCCGGACATAGCTCGATCGACTCAGCTGTTGATGCTGATCAAGAATATTTATTGGGTCGGAAATGACTCCTTCACACCGTAACAAGTTTTTGAATAAAAGAACAATACCCTTAAAAATTGATAAAAATACATATTAAATCTCCTAAGAATTCCAACAATAAGATATTCTTAGAAATTTTACGAAAATCAGATTAACTTTAGCTATGCAGAACCCTTGACTAATGAACAAGTTCACCGAATCTTTGACATTTATTTGCAAATAGCTCTCGGTGCCCTGCTCTTTTGGCTTTGCACAATTTTCCTTACTTATGGCTTAATTGTTGCCTACTTAAAGGCGCAAAGGCGATGTCGAGTAAAACACACACACACACACAGGCGAAGGAAAGCTAATTGCTCGCCTCTCTTCCCATTCTCGGGATGCTCGAAAATAATGCTCTCAGTGTTGAAAACCAAAGTCATAAATTTTAATTTGCCAAGTTCAAATAACATGTCGAAAACAATCTTCCTTTCCCTTCCTCTCGCTCTCTTTATCGCTGCGCCTGTCCATTACAATTTGGTCTATCGTCGTCCTGGGAAAAGCAATTAAACTTTACACAAAAATATCTAATTGATTTTCAAAACCCAAATTTAGTGGCTTCTGGCATTTTTCGTGGAAAAGTCCATTCATTCATTCAGTCCGATAATTGATATTTGTGACAGAATTTGGGATTCTTAAAATTCCTTTATACCTATTTAATTGCTTAATTGCATTAATATGTATTTGCTAGCTGTAATTACTAACAAATTATGGTATATATATTTTGTGTTAGAGTCTTGAAAACTTTCTAAGAGTTCCTAGAAAGCTGTGCTTTAATAATGCCTAAGGAATTTGCTACGAAAATACATATATAACCATTTAATTGCTTAATGGTTTTAATATAATTAATATACATTTCTGAGATGGATATAACAAAAATATATATTTGAGCTGTAAAACCTTTAATAATACTCAACGAATATGCTTTAAATAAGTAAATAAAAATAAAAATAATAATGATAGATTCATAGAAATCATACCCAAACTCCAAATGATTTATTGTAAAGAAATTACAAAAAATCTCTGTTCAATGAAAACCAAAATAATAGTTGTTTTAAAATACGGCTATTTCTTATTTTACTCAGAATCATTGAATACACGAAATTCCGCTCATTAAAACATTATTTTAATTACATTTCAAATTTTGACAGTACTTTCAAGGGAAGCCTTCAGGCAATTATAAATAATTTCCTTCACTAATTTGTGCTGATTAAAATTCACGCAAAAATTTCCACATCTCCATTGCATAATGCCTTACTCAAAATATTAAAAACTAGTTTCGGAAATTTCAACCAACCTGGGAAAACAGGGGAAAATGGCGGTGATTTACCGTCTCTGATGCAGCGGCACAGCAGGTCACAGGACAAACAAGCCACCGCAGGTTGACGCAACGTGGCTGCCACAATGGTCCGGGCTTGCCAATTTGCATGAAATGCGATTTTTCGCAGGCGTTGCATAATATTCCCCCCCCCCACCTCCAGTGCGTGAAATTTCCCAGAGAGTCGATGGGAAAAGTGGAGGGGAAAAGTATATGTATGCAACAGAATGAATTAAGCGAATGCATTATGCGCACATTCTCAAACGCGGCAGTTCCGCCATTAAAAGTTGTAAGGCGTAAAATCAGCATTAACAACACTCGCCTGGCAGGCGAGAATGTTCCAGATTTAATTGGTAATCATCCGGGGTTTTTCCGAGAATTTCATGAACAGTTTCATTTTTGATTAAAGCTATAGTTGGTTGCTAAGGAAATTAATTAAATTTAAAAAACTGAATTTCGAAGCTTTAAAAATCCATCAGTGATTTTCCGTAAAACAAACTTAGCACTTAAGGGAAACTGCTGCATTGGAAACTTTTAATAGACTTGAAGCCTTACTTCCTTCCTTCCTTCCTTCCTGTCTTACCACATTCTAAGCTTCGAAACTAACATGATTGGCTTAGTGTTTATAATTTATGCATTCCGTTGAACTCATGCAACTTTAATAGCATTATGCCACGCCCTCACGGATACGGAAATGCGTCGCTGATAAGATGACTGATATGAAGAAGGGGATGCCAAAGTGCGGGCAACTATGTATGTTAAACAATGAACTCCCATCTCTATATGCCACCTCATCCTCCAATTTTCCAAGCAACCAACCATCCATCTTGTGTGTCAGCCATTTGATACTTGCCCCCCTGAAGATGTGTACAGGGAAATCATTCCACAGGATTCATTCAATGGGGAAAACCCGTCACAGGCAGGGAAAACTTCGCGTGGGTGTGAAAATGAGCCACACTTGCCTGCCTGGTTGGGGTTTTAGCTTTTGTATTTAAATGCAGTAAATGTGGAATCCCATGTGTATAATAGGCAGATTTGTTTAAGTGAATGTAAGTGTTTGGGGAAATGAGCCTATTAATCAGATGAAAGTTAGCTTTCAAAAGAATTTTACTTTTATAGGAGAGGGATTTTCACTAGAGATGGTGTTCATGCAATAATTGTTGTTATATTTTTGCTAATATTAATAATATTATAATTTTTTAAAGCAAATCCACTTTTAAATAATATAATATTTAAATTCCAAAACGTAACCAAATAACCTTTCAGTGATAGCATCTCCAATGGATGTTGCTCAACATGGTCTTAGCAACATTCGTTTCCATTTGGATGTTGCTAAACATGTTCCTATTATGTGCCTTCTGTATGCCTTTCTGTTAAATATAATTTTATTAATAAATTTGGGCGTAAATCAATAACGTTTTTAACAAATTTTAGCATAATTTGACATAGATTATGATCCATTTTCAGATTCATTTTTAATTTCACTCAAAATGCTTTGGATGCCAGGTATCTAAGAGACAGTAACACTCTACAATATCTTTCATACTTATTTATTTTTGCTCTGCCCTGCATCCGGCCCACTCATGAATCAGCAGTTCAGTCTGAAAGAAACAGGCAAATTATTTATGTTAATTATGGTCGGTTGGTTGGGTGGGTGTTTTATGGAAAAGAAAGTTGTCACTGACCCAAACCGACCCGACCCGACCCGATCCTGCCGCCAACTGTTGCCATATCTCGCATCTCCATTTCCGTTCCGCTTTATTTTTTAATTATTTCCCAGCATTTTACAGGGCTGTAAGTGGCAAATTAAGGAATTATGCAAGAACAATGGCCGGGAACGAAATGAAATTTCGTGCTTGGCCAATTGCAAAGAGTTTAAAAAAAGTTTTTGCATCGTTTTCCTGACATCTCCGCTGAGCGTGTGTTGTGTGTGTGTTTTGTGCCAGGGCATTATGCAATCGCCACAATCCGCAATTAGTTGCGCACTTAATCCGAGAAGCAAACAGCACCAGGAACCACCAGCATCAGGAGCCACCAGAGCAGAATGACACCCCGATTAGCACTGGCCATGATGGGGGGACTAATCCCATTCTAACGCCGCAAACTTCCAGCGATTGCCGAACTTGTGCACAGCTTGGCCCTCTGCCTCTGCCTCAGCTGGCTTAAATGCCGGCAATTAGTTGGCAATTCTTGTTTACTCTCTAAACTGAGAACGATTCTTAAACTTTGCCCTAGACAGCGTCGTCGCCAACCTTAGAACCTCGAAAAACCCCCTGATTAATGCCCTTATATCCTGGCGATTGTTTTTCAATATTAAATCCCAGAGCGTAGCGCATATTAATCAGTTGACACACAAAACAAATGAAGCTACTCAAGGTCGTCGTCTGGACTTGATGGACAAACAATGGAGAACTTTGGGTTGACCTCGCGACAACAGAGAGGTGAGTTTCCACATCTTTCAGTATTGTTTTCCCCTTTTGTTTTGATCCCTCCCACATAGTCAGGATTTTCCCTAATTAATAAAGCAACTCGAATTTAATGGCTACGTGTATATACTAATGTATATATCCTTTGACATCTGCTAATGAATGTGCGTGTAACCCTTGAGCAAGGTTGTCAAGGATACCTCAGTCTCATGTCAAAGGATGTGCGAAGGGATTATTAATCAATGACTAGAATAATCATTTAGTTCAAATAAAATATTTACAGATGTTTAATTTACATTCAACACAATCAGGTTTAAAAAGATATATGTAGATACAAAAAGTACAAAACAAGGATTTCCAAATACTCAAATGTGACTAGAAAGGACCTATTCGGAGCCTTCGGGCACCTCCAGGTTAAGGCAGTTCATCCAGAAGGCATCAATGGTGTGATACAAATGGGGCAGAGCATTGCCAATGCCATGGTTCTCATCGGTGTAGGTCTAGAAATGTATAAATTACATAATAAATTAGTTAAATTTATAATAAAAAGAATAATTAAATTATTATAGTACCTGCTCTTCGAACTGTATATCCGCCATTTGCAGCAGTTTGGCCAATAGCAGGGAATGCTGATAGTGAACATTATCATCACCTGAACCATGAATCAACAGGAAATCATGCGATCTAAAGTTTTCCAAGTTCAGAAAGACACTGCTCTCATTATATTTCTTCAAGTTATCAGCGTCGGTGGGCAGACCCATATAGCGTTCAGTGTAAATTGTATCTAAAATAAATGAAACATTAAGAAATACTATCAATTTTGGCACAGAAATCATAATACAAACCATAATACAGCCAAGAGGTAACAGGGGCCACTGAAACACCACACTGGAATACCCTATTATCATCCTTCTCAATGGTCTTGGCCGTCATATAACCACCATAACTCCAACCCCAGATGGCACAACGATCCTCATCCACATAGGCGAGATTCTGCTGCATCCAGCGGGTGACAAACAACTGATCCTCCACCTCATGATCACCCAGATCATTGTTCACTGAGAAAAGCAGATCCTTGCCCTTGTTACCCGTTCCTCTTCCATCAATATAAGCGTAGATTGTGTTCCGGGAGGTGGTGAGGAAGGCCTCGTAGCCCAAAGTGAATCCATTGGTAACTCGCACCGAATTGGGTCCCTGGTAGACCACCACAATCAATGGATACTTCTTGGTGGCATCGAAATTGGGAGGCAGGGCGAGCTTGGCGAAACCGATGGTACCATCGGCCAAGGTGACATTAAGGAAGTGATAGGTGGGACGCAGTTTCTGGGCTATCTTGGCGCGATACTCCGTGTTGGGTTCCCAGTCCACCAGACGTGTATTCCCGGTGGCCTCATAGATGCCCACATAAGTGGGATTGGGTCCATTGCAGGAGAGTGTGTAGTAGGAGAAACCTTTGCTAAAGGTGGCACTGGCTGATTTGCAGGCAACTCCCTCCACATCGATGAGGCCACAGCTAAGGCAATCGTTGTTTCTGTACACATGGTACGCCGAGGGATCATTAGCCTGGGTGGCCTGGTAGTACCTTGGGAAGAAAATAACCCATTAAATCTCAATCCTTTCTAGAATTCTATTGTACTCACAGTTTATCCCTGGCTTCATCGTATCCATAAACATTTAAGACTGTGAAATTACCACGCGATTGCCAGCTGTTGATGCCCGTCTCCAGGTTAAGATTCCACACCTGCTGCCAGTTGTCAATGAAGTAGGAGAATATGCAGCTCGTGCCTGTGCTGAGGCACTTGGGTGTGCTAATGTCCACCCAGCCAGATGGTTCCTCCAACCGCTTAACCTCCGCACAGACGCCTTCATAACTGCAGCTCTGAATGGAGGAGAGGTTCTGCCTCCTGTTCATCCAGGTAATAAGCAGATGTGTCTCATTGGACCACACCACATTCTGGAGGATGTGATCACTGCCAACAAAATCTGCGGGTGCCACAATTCGTTGCATGGTGGGATCATTGTTGGTGACATCATACACACGCAGACTGACCAAAGGATTCTTGGTACCCGATTTGGGATACTTGAGGTGCTCCTCGTGGGGATACTGATAGTTGGTGTTATCCCCATCACCGTACATGAAGTAATTGAAGGTCTCCACATCGGTGTCATCGAAAAAGCCCACGGCCAATTTGGTGCCATCCGGTGACCACCAAAGAGCGCTTCCACTGCTCAGTACCTCCTCCTCGTAGACCCAATCGGGAACTCCATTGTACACCACACCATCCACACCGTCCTCCGTGACCTTGATCTCCAGATTCTCACTGAAGTGGATGTAAACGTTGTTCAGGTAAACATAGGCCAGGCGATCCCGCATGGTGACCATCCACAGTACTGTAGCTTCTCTCCTTTGTGGATCTGAATGGTAGTGTTGGTATCGATATCGTACACATCATACTGAGCTATATACGAGTGACGGAACTTCTCCGTGAGATTGTGACGGATCAGGATCTTGGTGTTGTCTGCCGAAAGCACAAAGGTGGCTCCCGCATAGTTATTCTACAAGATAGAGATCTCTTTATTATATCCTGAATAGTGAAAGGAAAAGGAGTTACTTTACCAGGAAGGATGAGCCGAGGAAGATTGAATCCGTCTTTGTGGCAGCATTAAATTTGTGAATGGTTCTATCGGAGGTTGTATAATAGAATTCCTCATCTGCAAAGGAATTAAGAGAAATGTATTAACTTCAAGTTATATTATTAATTTGTGAAGTCCTATTGAATAAAATATAAGCTTACTAGCCACACTTGTCGTTAGATTTTAAATATATAAAATAACATCAAGCAGGAAAATGTATATACAGTTTATATTTAAATATCATTTGTAAAAGTATAAAAATATTGTAAAATGATTCTGTTTACATAAAGTAAACAAATTATACAAGAAAACATTAGAGACAATTTTATATTTATTTCACTTTTACAGAATTTGGTATAAAATTGGAATTAACTTTTTTATGAATTGTATTATATTATATAATATTATATATTATTACTGAAAACTGTATTTTAGCATTATTTTATTTGCAGGTTTTCGTACGATAAAACTAAGCCCTTATCATGATTCCGAGAACAATTAGAGCAAACAGATAGAAAAACTGGTTTCATGTTTCTTGAATGAGTCAGTTTATAAAAATTAATTAGTGTAAATCTGTGCTCATTTCATTTTAAATAAAATATGTAAATATTTTTGACACAAACAATATTTGCTAAGAATTTGTTTTGTATTTTCTTAGTTATAAAAAATCTACTCTTATAAACTTGATTAACCTTTCTTAGAGACAATTTTATGGGTCAACTTGCCTTATAAGAATTTACAATTTAAGAAAGCTTTGTTGCTTGAAAGTTTTTATAACTATTACCATTTAAGCAGAGCGCTTCGAATCGATTCAACCTTCTCCTAATTCTTTTTTTCACTAATTAGCATTCACTTTTGTTGGAAAACAAGCGTAGCCACAATAATGCCAAATTAGCCAAAACAAAAGCCAACTTGAACTTTCAGCTGGTTGAAGTGTAAAACTTGGCATTACTTGGGTTTTTAGTCGAGTGCCAAGTTAGAGAAATTTAATTTAGAGAGAAATTTGAATACACGTAACTTTTTTTCTGGTAATCTATCACAATTTATGCCATATTTTTAAAATAATACTAAGATTAAAAGGCAAACTTGATAAACAAAATTATTTATACTATTTTTGGGAAAACCTGAAATCTATGGGAAGTTCCCATAACGTCAATTTATAGATCAAACTGACAAGCTAATAAATATACAAGTTTGGATGAATTTTTGTTAATACCCTTTTAATTTGAATGTATAAATTTAAGGGTATTAACTAACGAGTGACATTTTCTAAAGAAATTGAAAGATTTCAAGCCTTATCTAGGTTTTGTGGTAAACCACAAGACTGTGATAAGAACTACAATATAAGCGTGCTATCGAGTGATTGTAATTCATTGCAGATTAGATTTCACGACAAGTCACAGAAAATGTGTGTGCAAATAGTGTGAAATAAGGATTTAACTCCAGAACAATTTATAATTAAATTATGAATTAAGAAAAGAAATTTGGCATTTGAATTAGAAAGTGTATGACGTGGCCATTTATTACCAACCCTCATTTGAAAAGACCCAGTGAAAACCATCGATCAATACCTGCTTTTAATGCCCCTATTTATTATTCAACTTTTTATTATAACTGTCATATCGTCCTATTTACATTCTACGACTTTCTATTCCCTCCATTCAACAGAAATTCATTACTTTGGGAAAACTTTTAGACAAACAAAGGCAAATCCAAGGTCGACAATGGGACAAGGCAGGGCATACCTTCTAGAGATACACTAGAGAGTTGGTTCATAGAGGGTGGTCTCTTTTACTAAACACCTTGTGATAGGTAGGATGAATGAAGGAATGTTGCAGAAGTGTTAAATACTTTTCCTGCAACTCTTTCCTAGCCTCTGACGCCAGTTCTGGGACCTTTTCATCTGCCCGCTCATTGACGATCCGCCGGACTTCTTCATCGTACTGCTTTTCATTTATACAATGCTCCAGCTCGAGCATTTTCCGTTCCAGCCTAATATTGATCTTGGCCAACTCCAGTTCTCTGATTTTCAATTGGTTTTGCATGTTAGCAATCTCGCTATCAAGCTGAGCCTTTTCAACAATTCTATCATCTATTTTTTGTTCCTTGGAAAGCAACTGGTGTTTCTCATTTTCGATCTCCTTATTGATCTCATCCAACTCGGCTTTCAAATCTTTGGAATCCTCCTCTGCCATTGAGCTGCAGGCCACTAAAATAATTCTAGTTAGTATTCGAATTAATTTAAATCTCTTTCAGCAGGCACTTACAAGCCACAAACAACAGTACAAGGTAGCCCCTCATGTTCAAGTATCCAAAGTGGTCTATTGAATCGGTCAATATATAAAGAAACTAACTTGAAACGCACTCCAATGGAATATAGTGTTATTTACGCTAATTATTCCGCATAATATTTATCCGTAACGGTCCTTATATAATATCTTATATAATATAGGTTTGGTTTTTTATATGAATTATTTCTTGCTTTTGACTTCAAAGTGCTTATATATATAAAAAGAAACAGCTAATTAAGAAATAATTCATTTTTAATATATATATTAATTTAGATTTAATAAAAACAAGACAGAAAACTAACTTCGTGATACCGAAGTTTATATTCCCTTTCTTTAATGCCTTCTTTTATTTTTGACTAATCAATTTAAAATACTTATAACTAAGCCAAAAAGCATTAATTTTAATTCGGAAAACTGTCAAACGTTAGTTTTAATCATATTAATAAATCTGTATACTCAAATTATAATTTTAGAAAATTGACCTTTTTGGCCTATTTTACCGATGTGATTCCTTCCTTTTTTGAAAATTTGGGAAAAAAAATACGAAAATTTCTATTTCTTCCAGAAATGCCTAGATCGACTCAGCTGTTGATGCTGATCAAGAATATATATGATTTATAGGGTCGGAAATGACTCCTTCACTGCTTTACAAGCTTCGGACTAAAGTTATAATACCATATTTTATCTATTTTTACGCCAATTTTAACTAAAATCAAATTTTAAAAATTCATAACAAAGCCAAAAAAGCGTTTATTTTAATTCTGAAAGCTGTCCCGTCCTATTTTTATCAAATCTGCATACTCAGTGTAAATATTTGCGAATTAAAATTACTGAAATTAAAGTCCCATTCTTGGAGAAGGTATTTTTTATATTTTTATACCAATTTTTCCTAAAAATCAAATTGAAAAAAACTCATAACTAAACCAAAAATGCATTGATTTCAATTCGGAAAGCGTTCCTATGCTAGTTTTTATTGGGTTAATAACTCTGCATACTCAGTTTTTAAGTTTAGAAAATTGAATTTTTTGCCAATTTTCGACAATTTTAATGATGTAACCCCTTATAATTTTTTCAAAAATGGAAACATTTTTAAAAATTTCGATTTCTTCCAGACATGCCTAGATCGATTCAGCTGTTGATGCTGATCAAGAATATATATGATTTATGGGGTCGGAAATGACTCCTTCACTGCTTTACAAGCTTCTAACTAAGGTTATAATACCATTCTTTAAGTAGTTATCTATATATTTATGAACATTTTTTCTAGAAATCAAATTTAAAAAACTCAAGAAGATGATCTTAAAATTGCTCAAATTTTTCTCTGTGCATCACTAGTCTATGGAAATGCCCCGTCCCTGCACTTGTACGTTAAGTCAGAACTGAATAATACATTGTAAACACTTTTATGCTATACGTAAATTAGTCCATTGATAAGGGCACAGCTCCCGCTGATGATGAAACACCGCTCTGCGGGTGGGAATTCCCGGTTGATAACTCCCCATGAGGGGAAATTCTAGCGAATAGAGCTTTAGCTTTCAGCACAGCCACTTGGAGGAGGAAAACAAAACATGCGCCAAGAGGTGGGTCATCGAACCGACCCGAGAACCGAGAACCGAGAACCGAGTACGGAGAACCCTTGGAGCAACCAACCTGTTATCCAGGTGCCATTGAAACCGCGTAGCCCCGATGTGCCGGATAGCGCCTCCGTTAGCTCCCACGCCGTTTTGCTGTCGCTGCTGTCCGCCCGTCCAACGGCCGCTGCCAGCGAGATGCGCGGCCCCAGGCAGAGGCACAGGCAGAGGCTGAGGCAGAGGCTGAGCCCCGAGGCAGTCACCAAAGATTTATCCCGCATTTTCTGTCCGTAGCTAATTTCCCTAATTTTCACACTTGTCACACCGCGAAACGAGATCCGGAACGAAACACACAGAGGCACCTCAAAAAACCAACTGAATTAAAATCAGAAATCAATTACAATCACACAGCAATTAGCTCTGACGTCAACGCAGGCAGAGGCAGCAGCCGTGGCAGAGGCAGAGGCAGAGGCGCAGCGCCAGCAGAGGATGATAGCGTTATAGAAGAGAGCAGTTATAAGCGGGAGAGATCGGCGTTCAACAAAAAAAAAGCAATACAATAGCTGCTCTTGGAGCTTACAACTTTTTTATACACTTGCAAAATAATTATAATTTTGGTTAGGAGTCAGGTTAGTTAGGAATGCCACGAGGGGGATTGTCTTAAGGGCATTTATTTTAAATTAAATATTTTAACATATATTTTATTTTCAAGTTTTTTTTTGGCAATTAATAAATAAAATGTTAATCATTAGCTTATTTACTACGACTTTGTATAGCCTTTTCGTTTATTTCAATTAAGTTAACAATTGAAGTGCATAATTGCAAAAAAAAATTAAATAATTTATATATTGAAATGATTTATATGGGGAAGTCTCTTTCATTAAATTTTACATAATAAATTTAATTTTGTGGCGTTGTAAAAAATAAAAAAAGGTTTCACTGTTAAACCTAAAATATATTCCTTTTTATAAATATATATTTATGTGGACATTTTTATAGGACAATTTTTTCAATAAAACTAAGTTTAAAAAACTCATAAGTAAGCCAAAAAAGAATTAATTTCAATTCGGAAAGCATTCCTATGCTACTTTTTAATAGGTTAATAAATCTGCATACTCAATTTAAAATTTTAGAAAATTGAAATTTTTGTTAATTTTTCAAAATTTTAACGAAATAAAACATTAACTTTTTTTGAAAAATTATAACATTTTTTTATTTTTCCAGACATGCCTAGATCGACTCGGCTGTTGATGCTGATCAAGAATATATATATTTATAGAGCCGGAAATGACTCCTTGACTGCTTTATAAGCTTCTAAGGTTTCTAGATTGCAATTTTATTTTTGGTCAGTTGTTTTTAAATATATATATTAAATAATCATTTTCTTTTCTTTCTTTATAAAATTTGTTAAATATTATCTTATCTCACCTGTTGCCCAAGAGCCATTGAAGTCCATTTCCAAATTTAAGAAGTCAAAAGCATCCTCAAGTGTCCAAGAGCTCTTCGTTAACCACTTTAGTTTGGCTTCAGTAGTCACATTATTACTAAATAATTCACACTGGAACATTAACAAACAAACAATAAATATAGTAAATCCACCGTGCATAATTAAAAGCGTCTTTTCGAATTTTAAACTGCAAAAAACCGATCTACGCGACTCAAAGCACCGAGAGTGAATGAGAAAATAAAACAAAAGTGAAACAAAAGCATTAAGTAAATACTTTTAGATATTTTTAGCTGTACCTCAGAAGTATGCTTATAAAACTTAATATATTACCAGTTACCATAAGGGTATAATCTGGGTAATATATATTTTAATACAAGAAAGAAAGTTCACCAAACCTTTGGTTTCAATATTTACAATTAACATTTGCATTATAAAGAACTTTATGGAGTGAGAAGATCTAAAAACCCCACTGATTTGTTTTATATATTTATTTATTAATTAGGTTTATCTTTAATCTTATAAACAATGAAGCATGTTTGTTTTTTGTTTGTTAAGTTATGTGGTTCTGATTAAAAAAGGGACACACTGAATCAGCGCAGTGCAGGAAACAATTTGTCATCCAGTCCAGAAATTTTGTTTTAAAAAGTCCAAAAAAGATCCTCACTGCGGCCGGCCGGCTGCTGGCAGCTGATGGGACGCCGGCTGCTGTGGCTGCTGCTGCTGCTGGGTGAGTTGCATCATACGAGTCAGGATCTGCGCCTGCTGCTCGAGACACTTGGGGAAGAAGGCCTGCATGAGCTCGACCTTGCGCTGCTCTAGCTCCAACCTCTGGCGGGAAAGCTTGGTCTGCTCGTAGAGCAATTGGTTCTTCCGCCTTACCTCCTCCATGTAGAGAGTTTCCAGTGAATCGGCCGCCGGTATATTAACCGAGCCATACGGACGACCGCGCTTTCGTGGCACCGGAACAGGGGAGGCGCTCACGACGGCCGAATTAGTGATGGGATTGCTGGCCGGAGCAGCAGCAGGAGCTGGCGAAGAAACCTGAGCTGGAACTGCGGCTACTCCTGATGCTGGAACTGGAGCCGGCATGCCGCCATTGGAGTTGGTGGCCACACTGATTGTGTTATTACTGCTGTTTATGTAGGCCACCGCAGTGATGGGCTGATGATTGATGGTGGACGTGGCCACGGCACTGTTGGTGCCGCTACTATTGTTGGTAAAGTGAGCAGGCTGTTGCTGTTGAAACTGATGCTGCTCATAGCCAGGCTGATACTCCTGTTGTTGTTGTTGTTGTTGTTGTTGTTGTTGTTGCTGCTGCTGCTGTTGCTGCTGCTGCTGTTGTTGTTGTTGCTGCTGTTGTGGCGTCTGCAACTCCAGCAGCTGGGCCGGTTCGGCTGGTGAATACTGTTGCAGCTGCTCTTGAAAGGGCAGCGAGCGATACTCATCGTCCTCATACTCCTGCTTGACCACCTCATCGTACTGATCCGTGAACAGCTCTGTGTTGAAGGTCATCCCGCCGCTGTTGTTATTGTTGTGGCTACTGCCATGGTTGCTGTTGCTGCTGCTGTTGTAGAAGGTGGCGGCAGGCGGCTCGGCAGCCAGCACGATGGCCTGTTGCTGAACGGACTGCTGTTGAAGTGGCTGTTGTTGCGGCGGCAGTTGATCCGTAGAACCATCTTCTCGGGGCGGTGTCATGTCGCGGTTATTAAGCAGGGCCTCTGGCGGCAACGGCTCGGCATTCTTGGGCCTGTGCAGGTTCTTCAGTATCCGGTTTATGATGTCGTACTTCTTCCATCGCGTAGCATAGCTGGTGGGATCTGCCTGCAGGTTCTTCTTCACTTGCCTGTGCAAAAAACCCTCAATTAATCCGTTTATGACCTCACGAAGGTGTGTGCTTACCTGAATTTTGCCCTTGTCTGGTTGACCTTCATCTGAATCTCTTCTGGCTTCACGTCCACCGCGAATCGCTCGCGCAGCTCCTCGGCCCACTTGCCAAAGAAGATGGTGTTCTTGCCGGTCCGCGTTAGCCGCCAATTATCGCGGCCCCAGATCTCGTACAGTCGCTCCTCCTCGCTGGGCGTCCAGTAGCGACGCGCCTTCTCCTTGACCCTGCCATCGGACACCTCCTGCCCCCCGCACATGCTCGAATCCTGTTCGGCGCCGCTTCCGCTGCCGCCGCCGCCGACTGCGCTGCCTCCGCTTGCGTTCAGCGCCAGCTTCTCGTAGTTCGTACTGTCCTCCTGCCTCAGCTAAGTGCTCCCGCGTTTTCCGTGGTCCCCTAGTCTGCGCGGCGTCCAAATTACACAATGCAGTGGGTTCTTTTCTAGGGAACGCAGGTGAAGCCAAAAGTTTTCTGCACAAAAAATCAACAACAGCTCTGATACACAGAAGAGTGTGGCCGTGCGTAAACAAAACGATAACGCTAGATAACACAGAGTTGCCATATATTTTAACCATCGTAATATCGTCAAATACTTCTTGCATTCTGCTTACGTGAAAGTAATAACTTTAGTTATATTACGTTTTTGAATACTTTTCTTCACAAAATTACGTTCTTTACCACTTCATACCGTTTTTCTTTACTACCCGATAGTTTAACGATGTTATTGTAGTGTGACCAGCTGGCAGGAAGAGAAAAATGCACTTTGCGTCCAGTGAGCAATTATTATTGTGATAAAAATAAATTTCGGCCGGATTTCGTGATGTGCCGGGTTTTGTAATTATAAAAATGAGCGGGGTAAAGCACCAGCGTTTGCGCTATTACACCTCCTTGGAGGAGGCCATGCTGGTTAGGGTGTGGCGCGAGCACCTTCCGATTCCCTCCTACACGGATAATCTGCCAATTTTCCGTGAAATCGCCGATGCACTGCAGAAAAATGGAATTCGGCTAAATAAGCAGGAGGTTCGCCGGCGCATCAACAACTACCGCAATAAGTATTTGTAAGGAGCAGCAACTACGCCCGGGAGTCCTCCTTTAAATATACATATATTAACATGCAATTATTCCCACAGAAACGAACGCAGCCGCATAGAGGGTAATCCTCAGTATAAATCAGAGTGGCGCCTCTATGCGCTGGTGCACTCGATCTTCCAGCCCACGCACCCCACAGCGGACGTCCATGAGGCGCACACGGTGCTGGAGGCAGCCGCCACGAGGGCTCGGGCTGACCTGCCCGCCCTGCCCCCCATGATAGTGAACAACACCAGCCAACTAAAGTTCGAGCGTGATCCGGATGGGTGCGCTTTTCTGGATGCCGTGCCATGCTACATTCCACCAACCGTGGTGAAGAACGAACCCTACAACGAGCCCTACAATTTGGTCAAGACGGAGACCAAGCCCACAGGGGCTGAACTCACGAACGCGGTGACTCTCTATCCGTTACCGCGGACTGTGGAGGATCTATTACGCCGGTCACCACTGGCGCCTGCTAATCACCAGCTGCCTGATATGCCACTGACTGCCAAAATCAATGGCCTGCCGGACGCGAAGAAGAGACGCGGAAGACGCAGTATATTGCCACGCCACGGCCAAGTCACAATGGCCCAGGTGGAGCAGCTGCGCAAAGAAAACCAAATGCTGCAGGAGGAAAACGAGGCCAATCTCCTGGAGCTCGAGCAGAAGGAGAAGCATTTCCTTGCGCTGCAGCAAAGCTTCCAGACCTATCTGGACCACCAAGTGATCATCCTTTCGCAGATTATGCGTCCAGGCATAAAGCAAGAGCCGGGATCTGGCTACTAGCATCTGTTGGTGAAGATTAGCCTGTAAGTTAGCTTTAGGAGACAAATGCCCCCGGAATCTGAGGCATTTCCTCCTCCGTTCCTTTTCTCAAACAGACGTCTAGTTCAGTCAATGTACAAAACAGCCTAGCGAACCGAAGATATTGAATTTTTCTACCTTATTTCTAAGAAACGAGAAGTAAACGTGAATTGGACGTTTGATGAAATGATCTTGTGTTAGGGGACGATAACTTACCTGAGCACTACCTTAATTTTTGTCTAATTAATGCAGAGCCACAAGTCTTTAATTGATAAGGAGTTTAAGAATTAGACTTATATAACTATAAGTGCCCAAAACAAGAAAATGAACGCAACTGAAAGAGAATAAAATGTCGATTTAGTTTGTTAATTGCAGTTGTGTACATTGTAGTTATCGATATTTATGTTTTGTTTTGAAAAAATCTTGGTTATACGTTTGCTTTACCTACTGAAAATATGTTCAATTTGCATTGTTTAACTTAATTTTCTTCTTATTATTTTGTATCTAAAGAATATTTAATGTACCAATTCACTTTCCTTTCGTCAGATTAATTGTTTTGGTAAGACTGAAATTAAATGAAGAGTCTCAGGTGTGCTCAATTTATTTCAGAATGAAATTGCCTTTCGTATGTGCTTGATATGGGGAAAGGTAAGGCGGCACTTGGTTGGGAAATCGCTTAATTGTACTTGGACATCACCACCACCACCTGTTCACCTGCCATCTCTTATCCCCCCATCGTAATTTTCGCGTGCCTCTGGCGGATTGAAATGTTTAAGCTGCACGAATGTTGCCATGATTGATTGATTGAATGGTTACGGGGCTTAAAGAAGATGAAATGCAGATGCTAATGATCCATCGACATCCAGGTAATTCTGGTCCAATTATTGATCAATTGATTGATGCATTAATAAATGGTGTTGTACTTCTTTCTCAGAATTTTAAAGAATCACACTATAATGAATATATATACAGTTTCCAATTTAATTTGACTTGTATTTATATGACTATATTTAATTTATTAAGTCATAATGGTTGAAAATTATAATAAAACACTCATTCGCATCATTGGCTAAGTGCATAATTCTAATTCTAAAAAGTCGAAAAACAATAAAAAAAAAAAATACAATATTAATTTTTGAAAGTGCGCGGTTTTCCACGGCCTTAAAATTGCCGTGTGACCGTTTTTAATGTAGTCCAGTTAACATAACTGGTAATAACAGCGTGCTCTACAGAACTGTGATGCCGGAATAAACTAGTTTCTTACCAACAAGCTAAATTGTATTAACTTAATATGAAAATTAACATAATATTAAACTAGAATCGAACCGCAGGGGTATGCATATCCTTGCAGATTAGAGCAAAAATAATATTTACAACAAAAATAGTATACATATTTATATTAGAAATACCGAAGTTGTGCCTACTTTCATTACGGCCACCAATACCTATATATTTTATTTGCAGTTTTACAGTAAAGTTATTCATTTATCCGATCCGACTTTTATAACAATATAACCTAAATTGTGAAACAAGAACAAAACATAACAAAGAAATTAAAAATTTGTTGACGTTGAACAGTGAAATTAATATTTTTGTTGTATTAATTTTCCGTACGCTTCTCTAGCAGCTATACGATAATAGATTTTCATGAAATTAAAACCTAAATTCTTAAATAACACAATAAGTGTATATCTAAAATTCTATAAAAATATATTAAAAACTGGCGAAGTTATAATATGTTATTAATTTTATCCTATTTTGGTTTATTAATTTTTCGATAAATATTTATCGTTTATGTTTTTGTGTGTCTAATTCCATGTGGGCCAAGATCCATGTAATTAATAAGAATTAATTTTACAATTTTAGTAGGAACCTTTTTCGAACATTCCAAAGCAGTATTTTAATAATAAATATTCCAAAAGACTAGACTAAAACCACCAAATAACTAAAACCAGCTCCGATATTTGTATGCCTGAAACATATTTTCCCAATAAAATCTAACATATTTGACCATATGACTATTAAAATAATCGTTGCATGATAATAGTTTCCCCCGACATAGTTTTTCCAGTGTACAACAAGCTAACTCTGGCTAGAAATAAGCTAAAAGCTAACAGCGTGCACCAGAGTGACCGTATTCAGAACACTGAAAAATACCAAAAAACGACCGCTCTCATCGCGCCTCTCTCAAGACTGCAACCCAATGAGAGCAGAACCTATAAATACGAGCTGCAAATGTTTTTTTCCCAAAAATTTTTTTCAATTTCGAACGGAACGGGTGTGTTTTTGCGCGTGTGTGCGGGCGGACGCGCGTGCCAATCGGAAAACCAAAAACCACAGCCTGAGAATTCAATGTGTTTTTCGCGAAAAGCTGAAAAGAAGGTGTGTGTGTTTGCATGTGTAAGTGTGTGTGTTTCGAGTGTGCGGCAATGAGCCGGAGAAAGCCAGCTTATAAATAAAGATCGCCGAGAGAACGAGCCGAACCGAAATAAATCGCAAAACGCTGTGCAGGAGTAGCAACAACAACAACAACAGACAGCATCGAAAGCTGATGAAAAACAAGTGTAACACACAAATTTTAATGCGCGAGGTCTTTTGCATGTTTGTGTTTGCTGTGTGCACTGCCTGCGAGAGTGTGTGTGCTTGTGTGTTCGAGTGCGAGGGAGAAAGAGATAGCGTCACCCAAATAAACAAAAAAAATTGAATTGAAGAGAAAGAGAAAGAGAAGAGTGCACTAGCGGTTGTTGTTGTTGTTGCTGTTGCATGTGGCATGACCAAAAATCAGCTGGCCGCCATCTCTCTCTCTGTCTCTTTCTGACTCTGCCACCCACCCACTCACAGTTTGGGTGTAAAAAAGCGCCGCTTTTCCTTTTTAGGCTTACATTCTGGACACACAACTCGGGCTTATCTATCTATTTTCTCCAAAGTCACACTTTGTTACAAATGTAAAAACCCGTTCCGTTTCTGCTTCTCTCTATCTCTCTCTTTCTCTTTCGCTCTCGCTCTGTGTCACGCCTAGTGTGGTTGTTGTTTTTGTTCTTATTGCCTCTACTTAATGCCTCTTTCATTCATAGAAAACGGTCAGCAAAAGGAACAACAAAAACCACAAGAGCAAAAGCGGCAGCGCGATTTCTTTTATTTTCGCTACATCAAAAATATAAAATAATAAGCCAAAAGCTAAAATCAAACAAACAAACCAAAGCCAAAAATCAAAAGAAATCAAATTTCAAATTCGTGCTGCGGCAACAACAACAACAACAACAACACTAACGATAACAAAAGAAAGAAAATTATTAAAATCATCATTACCATTCGCAGCAGCAACAAAAACAACAATCGACAAATTGCATGGCAGTTAGCGTCTCCCTCTGTGTGTGTGTTTGTGTGCTTTTGTCTGTGTGTGCGTGATGTAAGTTCGATAATAATTTTCGTACAATCCGAAAATGTTTATTTTATATCTGAACTATTATGCCTAACTGGCGCCATTGTTCATTTGTTGGCCATTATTATTGTTGTTGTTGCTGTTATAATTTGGCTCTCTTTTTCGTTTTCCGCTCTTTATCGGCACAAAAACTCGATTCCATACATGGTTACATATATGTTTATATTTGTATTTTATGTTTTTGCTCCATTTATATGCTATAGTTAACTTTTTAAATATTTAACAACGAGTCTCGGATTGGGTCTTTCCGTTTTTGTGCTTCTTAATTGCTGTTTAAAGTTGGATATTTGAGGGAAAAAGACACTGAAAGAGCTTTTGTAAAATCTTTTGAGATTGTATCAATAATTTAATTAATTTATAAACACAAATAGACGTTTCCCGAAAGATACTTATATACATAACTCGGAATACCTTTTATGAGTCTGTGAATTTATAATTTTGATTAAATCGTAAAGATTGTCCAACAAATATTAAATATTTCCGATTCCTATATAGTTTTTGTCTGATTTTTTTGAATTTTATTCTACGTAAAAAAGATTTCTCAAGAGATTTACTTAGTTGCAACTTTCCAGAGTCTACTGTTTGTTAACTGATTATAGATTCTTTTTGGTTTTTCTTTTTTTTTTCTTTTTTTTTTTTCTAAAAGTCCTCATGTGAGTGAAGACCAGACCATGGCCAAGAAATTTTGATAAGGGCTTTACCTACGCCATATGAAAAATATTAATTGAAGTGATAACCGCACCTATCATAATTTTAACTTTATCTTAACAGAGTAAAAGCCATAATATTTGCGATTATTCACTTAATTTGGTAATTTCCCCTTCTCATTTTGATTAATTTGATTTTCTATCGCCTGTTAATTTCACATTAACAAAACATTTGTTAACCTATTAAAAATATGTATCCAAAATATATCTTATTTTTTTCTTGAAAAAGTGGTCATTAAAAGTCCGAGGGAAACACATAAATCTTGCCGTCGTTTGTGGCTCAATATTGTCACCAAGTAAATATTTTGAACAACAAAGATATTAATTTATGCGGCGTGTCGCTTAAAAATAGAAATTGATGATGGGTGCCTTGAAAATAAAGCAAAATGATACAAATTTGAAACGAGAAAATATATAATTTAAATTTCGATACAACCACTGACGACTTCTGTTTCTTGGGATCTAGCCATTGATCTTCTGGTTCTTACTCATCGTAAAAATCTTCAACAGTATTATAATTTATGAATAATGGGTTTTTAGCTAGTTTTTTGATAATTATTATTGATTTATGTCTCTTTAAATGATGAGGAAAAACCAAAAGTATCTATTTAGCATGAGAAAATTTATATTTAGGCAAAGCAATATTAATTTGTTGTTACCATTAGTTTTATTAAATATTTACCTATTCGTTCCTGCGCATTTTGAGTTATTTTTGTTGACCAAACATTAGCTTAGTTGCATTGAAAGCATCTCGTCTTTTGTGAAAAGCAGCTAATCAAATGATCTCCATTCAACAAATGTTTTCCTCGGACATGGCAAATATTTGCGTAGCACGTGAGGTATGAGAAATTGTACGTAATAGCACTTTAAGATCCGCCCGCACCCTCCATCCGATTTATATTCCGCAGAATGTTGATAAGGGAAACACATTTGGAGGCGGCTGCCAGAGGGGGCAACAAACGCACTGCAGTGTTTGGGATTACGTGGAGGAGAGCCTCGGAGACGGGTTCCCGATAAGCTTGGCATCATTTCTAGTTTCTTGATAAAAAAAACAGCAGCAGCAACAATTATTCACAAAAGGCCTTAGCGGAAGTGCACAAATGCTGTTCACTTTATAGAGCTGTTAAGTAGTTTCTCAAGATGTCGGATAATTTGTTTCACTCTCTCGGGAGGGTAAATGGAGGAAGAGACTTTGAGTGAGTTGACTTGCCAGCTTTGGGAAATTTATGTTCTGCGGGAAAACAAATCAATTTGTGGAAAAGTTTATAATCAAAGAGGGTACAAATTTGAGATACAGAAACAGTATTGGAGAGATTGAAAAGGGACTAAAGGCAGTCCATTTAAAATATTGTGTTTCTTCCTGATTTAGGGTTATTTTTTGTTTTTCATTTAATTAGAGTTAATATAGGGTTGTATTTCAGAAACCCTTTTTATGTTATCTTATTAAAAAGTAAAAGATTTCATTGCTTAAATGCTTTAATGATTTCCCTAAAGCAATTTGAGGTTTTAATCAGTTTCTTTTAATGACAGATACATAGTTGTGAGTTGTCTCCTTAAATAATTCCTCCAATCTAGTATTAATAACATATTAAATACTTATTTAAAATCGAAATTCATTACCAATAACCCACAAAAACACGTGTGTGTATCTCTCTACCTCTTGACCTATAAAATCCATAAATGTTGCTTGGTTACTTTTGACGATGCCACCATCCAAAACTGACGTAACAACCAGCGTTCACATGCATTTACACATCATTTGCTGTTTGTCATGACGACAACAACAAACATTTATCATTTCGCAGCTTTTGGAGCGCGTGTTGCCTGTCATTGGGAAGGGGTTTGCTCTGCCGGACTCTGCTGGAGGCTCCATCGACGACGACGGGGTCAGGTTCACTCGGGGGTCAAGCTTGGAACCAAAAACTTTGGCGCTGCTGTCAGGAAATTTAACTGCGGCATTAATTTAACTTTTGCGTTCACACTTCTTGGTGCGTTCTTCTTTGCCCAAGTCGAAGCATTGATTAATTAAGTTGGAAAATCAATTTAAATATAAAATGTATACATTTTTCTTTATAATTAATATATTCGCCATTAGTTTAGTTAATGGTTTGTCATGCCTTTTTCATTCTGTTGGAAATTATATTCTCTCGTTTCCTTAAAAGCAGATTTTATTTTTAATAACCTTTTCTCCCAATTAACTAAATCAATATAAATATATATATATTTATATGTTTGATCAAAAATAAGTCTATTGTGCACTTTACGCTTGAATTAATCCCGGGTTCCTTGGAGTCTGCAAGGCGAAAAAAAAGTTTATATGTAAATCTAGAAAGGTTCAAGATTTTTGTAGTCATCATGGGTTTTAGCCAACGTTCTCCTTGCCCTTCTTAGCCATCTCCTTATTCCTTATTGGTATTGGCTTACCATTTTGTGGTTAACCGCAAATAAGCATTTTGTGCATTTTGTTTTCGTTTCGTTTGCTTTTTACACTTTCCTAGACCGAGAGAGACCCCAGAAACTCAGTCATTTGTAAAAGTTTCACTTTGGGTTAGAATCGTTGTGAAGCAGGTGCGGATTTAAGAAATGGAGTTGAAGGTTTATTTTGGTATTAAATAAATCATATATTGTTTGATTTTGTATGTTTTTTATTAATTAAATTAACTCAACTTGGAGTGTTCAAAAAATACTTTTGTCACTTCAACCAATTCTAAATAATGTTTATTATTTCTGAGTACTTTGGTACTATTTTTCTTTTAATATTATTTTAAATGCATTATAATATTTAAATCAAGAAGATATGTGCCAAACATATTATATAATAGGTTTATTTATAAAAGTTTATTTGAATACCCTATTTGGGTATTATAATTTTAGTCTGAAGCTTTTTTCGCTTTTTCCGACCCTATAAATCATATATATTCTTGATCAGAATTAACAGGCGAGTCGGACTGACTATGTTTTAAAGAAAACAATTTTTTGATCAATTTTGTTTAATTTTTTTTTGCCGAAATTGAATTGGAAAATTGCCAAAAAATGATCAAAATTTCTAATATACTTAAATTTTAAATTGAGTATGCAGATTTATTAGCCTAATAAAAACTAGCATAGGAAAGCTTTCCGAATCAAAATTAATGCCTTTTTGGCTTAGTTATGGGATTTTTAGTTGTAGATTTATAGACAAAAATATCGATTTAAAGAGTGTGAACATTTTAAGCTTACTTCTATGTTTATATTTCTATATTTTCCTCTTTCAGCCCAGAACCGCACCTGGTTTAAATTGGTTAGAAAAACCGTCCAAGTTGGCTTAGGTTGGTCCTGACCGGATGGTCATCAATATATTCGTTTGGGTTTCCTTCGCTGGCATAAAAATGTTCACACTTTGCTGAATTTTAATGGCTTATCCGGTCTTCTCGCTCTGGAATGGAATGGGATGTTCTTTGCTTGCGTAATTTATTAAATTTCTTAATGCACTCAAGTTGGCTAACTGTGCTCTTACCTTTCGGGCCCTGTTTACCGGCCTTACTCGCCGGCTTTTGCTGTCTTATTTAGACCAGAATACAAAAAGGGCTCTGTTTTGTCATGACAACCGCAGGGCAACGAATGTTTTCCTTACTTCCTCTAACAATTAGGCACGCAAAACTGTCAGTCAGCCCAGTGTACTCAGGGGCACGGCCGTGGGGCGGATAGGAATTTGTAGCAGGAGCAGGAACGGGAGCAGGAGCAGCAGCGGGAGCAGGAGCAGGTGGACAGGTGCGCCCCCAGAGCGATGTGCCGACACCTTTCGCCCAGCACTCGCTGGAGGGGGTGTGGTCAGAGGGCATGTCATCGTCAGGGCATGACATGCGTGTGGGTAGCAGCAGCAGCTTATGTGTTATGGTTGATTGAATTGAAACAAGGGAAAAATGGGTTGTGTATAAAGCACAAACGAAGGGACTTTATGTTTGGATTAACCCCTATATGTAAAAGGTGTTACGTGGGTGAGCTAGACCTACTCGAGTTGGCCCAAAGGCATACTTGCCGGGTTTTTGCCCCAAAAACTCTTAAGTATTTATGCACGTTGGTTGCTTTGGTTTCGGGTCAACACAATCGAAGAGAGTGTTTGTTGTAGAAATTATAAATATACTTCCTGTAGTATCAAAATGTATTAATACAAAGCTTTTATTTAGCAATAAATGCTTTAACCATTAAATTTTTATAAATATCATAGGTATATTTAAACAACTCTTTGATATTTTATAGAAAATGTATTAAAAACATGCTGGCATAGTGGGTTAAAAATAAAATAAAAATATTTACACAAAAAAAGTTTATACCATATGTTTTCAAATTTGAATACATTCTTAAAAATTAAATAAAGTATTTTTACTTAGATTTCTCATGAGCTCTTGATATAATACAAAAATTAGCATAATTATCTTGATTTTGTTTTTCATTCCTCTATCGTTTGGCACACGCATCAAATTTTAAATATATACATATGTTTATATATCTAATATCTTGTTTTTATCTTTCCGACTTAATCACAATCATAATCATAATCATTATGTTCAGTTCAATAACCTACAACAAAGTCTCCAAGACTGTGACTAATTTTCTCGCGTTTGAAATGTATATTAGCATACGGACTTTGACTTATAAGTTTTGAAAAACGATTATATCTATGATGTAATAAAGGTTTTCATATATGAAGTCATATCATAAAGATGTTACCTAAAATTCAACAATCTTTGCTAATGAACATTTTTTCTAACTCTACTAAACTATTTCCATAAATGATAAAAAGATTATAAATCAATTTTATTATGCAAAAGCAAGGCATTTACCCAAATACTTTATTATTAGCAAAAGCTATAAAAATGAAACTTTCCCTAATTAGAACTGACAAATGTGATAGCTATGTATGTGTGGTTATAAAAATGTGAATCATTGTCCGTTTGTTTAAATATATATAAATATGTAATATATTTTAAAGCAAACTAATTTAATTGACATACCTTTCTTTATATTTACAGATATCTGTACGGGAATTTGAAGTTCTATAACCCCGACTCTTTGCCTACAATTAAGAAGGTAAGCTAAATGAAAGAAAATACATTTAATTCGAGAAATATAGTAAATATATAAATTGAAATAATTGGGAATTATTACCATATAAACCTAAGCCTGTCACACCTTTCTTAGAAAACTATTGGCCCTGTTCAGGCGCCCTGTGTAACTCCATAATTAATCTTACCAGCACTTTGCCAGGCTAGAACAACGAAAGTTTAGTTGTAATTAATATGTAAATGCAAAAAGTTGGTTCTGTTGGGAGTTGGAAAACAAAAAAGGCAAAAGTTGGGGGAAAAAAGAACTCGAAGAGGCGACGTCAGAAGCATTTGCACAAATCATTGGTTAACAGTGCCAGAGTTGCCTAATTATTATGCAAAAGGGTTGCGCGCTTCCCTGACAGGCAGTCAGACAGACAGTTGCTCTTGGCGGTTGGTTTTAGCCATTGTTTACTTTGATTCAACTCAGAATCGAACCTTTGATACAGTCCAGAGTCCACTTTGAAAGACGGATTATAAATTAAAATTACACTGGCATGCTAAAAAGATACTTTTAAACTAATAGAAATCTAGTTAAAAGCTTCAATTTGCTTTAAAGTCATATGAAATATTTGAAAAGACTGTCTGAAGGCTTTAATTATTGAACTACGAGCCTGTTTCTTTGTGGATTTCTTAGAGCAAAAATGTGGTATGTATTCCTTCATAAATATTCAAATACTTTCATTAACTAAATTAGTACTCTTAGGGCAAAAAAACAATAAATTAGTCAGTAGTGTACTTCGCCTAGAAAAGGAGGCCCAAAATTTAATTAAAAATCGTTTGCCACTTGCCCCGTCACGTTTTCTGAGCCCGCCGCCTTGCATCTTCTGTTCTGCAGTTTTTGGCAGTCTTTCAAGTGGCAAATGCCATCGATTCCCAGTGCCAGGCTCAGCCGAGAGACAACAGGCGGGACGAGAGGACTGTTGACGATAGTGGATGGCAGCCACTCAAACTTGACATCAACTTGGGCCACGGACTCGTGTCCGTGTGTGCGAGATGGTGCTCCGAGGACAAGGACGAGAGGCCCAGGACCAGGCACAGACCCAGACCTAGGCTGAGGCTCAGGCGTTGGTTAGTTGGTACGACAACAATGGGTGAAGGGCTCAAAGGAAACCAATTTTACTACTTATTGTCCTTAGCTAAGCTGGCAACGAATCAATCCACTGGATCTTGCCTCATTCCACCGACTAGGCTTGAGGTTGGCCCCAGGCATCCTTTTAAATGAATTATTATGTTAAGCTGTTGGCGCGATTCGCATTTTGTTGATTACCTAAAAGGTTTCGAAGTTAAAAGCTGAGGCTAAATATAGATAAATTCTACTAGAAAGTCATCGGGAAAGTTAGGAGAAATTAAATATTTGGGAAATATATGTACTGTAGATTGTTTTTGCTTCAAAAATAAAGCAAGTTCTTTATAAGTTCTTCCTTTTAGAAATACAATTATGACTTAAGATACAATTGTAAGATACATTTTCTTAGACTCAAATTGAGGTACTCTGTATATACTTTTCTTTCGTTAATTTCTCCCTGCACCACATTTTCCATTCTTGCTGTTTTTCTTTTTGTGGAAAATGCCAAAGTATTTAAGTTTCTTGAAGCGCATATAAGTACCAACAAATTGCCTCCATGAACTTCTCAGTGTTCTTTTTCATTTTCATTGTGCTTTTGAGAGAACTCATTAAAACTTCGAAAAGAAAAATCTCAGCATATTTTCACATGTCCTGAGAGTTCGTCTTGAGCCTCAAAAATATGCTTTAGTCGTCCTGTTTTCTTTTTTTGAAATGGGACAGTTCTGACAGAGAATTATAAAGTCTAGTGAGCGCAGGATTTTGAGGACGGGAAAGTGAGAACCCAGATGAAAGTGAATGAGAACTCTGCGTGAAAATGAAAATAAATGTGCATGTGTAATTTACGTTTCCGTGACAGGAATCGTTAAGGAGAGCCGCCTGCAGAGGCGAGAGAAAGAGCTCAGAACTTGGAACTTTTCCTCCAAAACATAGTTGTTGTTTCCGTTTTTTATTTTCTTGCTGCCACAAGTTATTGTAGCTGTTTTAATTTATACCCATGAGAGGCTGCTGCAGTCGCCAGACATACAAATATATATATATATATGTATATATCCTTTTGCAGACGTGGCTGCTTAAAAGGATTAGCATTGCATAAAAGATGCAAAAAGTCCTTGACCAAAAAAACTGCAAATTGGGGCCGCTTTCGCTTTGTCCTTATTTCAGTTTTTTTCACAAATGGAAACACACTGGAAAACCTGTTTAATTTGGTTAATTTTCATTGCATTTTGTAATCTAATTCCTGTGCATTATTTGAATACAACGACATACCTCCTTTTTAGCTTGAAATTTTAATTAAAATGCCTTTTCCCCAGTTTCAACTTGTATTCCCCAGTCGGTTGACTTTTAGCCATGTTTGTTTATTCTGTTCGTTTTCTTTTTTGGCCAACTCATCTCTCTGTCTCTTATTTCTCGTTTGTGGACACGCCACATTGTTGTATTTTGCATCCTTCTTCTTGGACTCGTTTTTTGTTGTCCTTACCACTATTGTTATCCTTTGTAGTAAGGATTTTTCTTTTGCGATTCCTTCTTTCCTGAATCTTTTTTCGTTCCGACATCGTTTTAGTAATTGAAAGGGGGGTTTTCTTTTAAGGTTTTCCTTCCTCCTTTACGGGTTTTGAACTGGTTGAATATGATAGAAAAGAAATCCAAGATGGATGGGATTCGATTTCGTGCTCTTAATGCATCTAAAACTGATTGGTTTTGTGAAACCTTAATCGTTTAATCGGATTTTATAGAAAGGTTTAAGAAAAAACTAGAAGTGAACTATAGATAGATAGAAAATGTATGTATGTATGTACAAGTTTGTTGTTTTTCTAACTTTATTTTCTTATTTTGAAATAGTAAAGAAATATCCTTATTTATTAGGTATAGAAGTTCCCTGAGTAAAATGTAAATAACTTTTCCCGCAACAACCCAAACATAAATCACCATTCCGTAAATATTTACCCATAACAAAAACATTGATTTAAATCGCTATTTACGATTCATATCGTATCCAGTATTAATTTATATTATGGGCAAACAAAAACTTGGCTTTTTCAAACTTTGTTTAAGGCCCGGAAAAATCTCCCCTAGGGGTAAAACCCCCCAAAAGTGTATCGAATTCACCTGCCCCTTCGACCACATTTCCCCTACTACCCACCCATATCGAGTCAGTAAATCAAAGTTTCACCTCGAGAGGAGTCATCCGGGGAGCATCCAAGCATCCCTAGGAGCATCCTGGCGCAGTTAACAAGCGAAAAAATAATGACAACAGCTCGGCATCGATCCTGGCGCTCCTCCTTGCGCGCGTTGGGTAATATCATTAAAAACAAATTGAGCACATTAATAAATATGAGTTATGATTGTTAATAAAAAATGATGGCCATAGGGAAGCTGTGTATGGCCAGAGCGTGACCAGAAATGGGCGGAGTAGCATGCTTTTCCGGCGACCGGACTCGTAATGGTCGGGAGTTGACACCTACTCCGGGCCACGCCCACTCCGGGTCATGCAATAAACGGAGTTTTGGTGGCAAGCAAAGTAGGAAAAAAAAAGAAACAGAATCCTGTGTAACCGTTGCATAACTTTTGGCGCTCCACCGAATGCGAATGTGTTTCAGACATCATAAATCAATTCATTTCGGTGACGGGGGAGGGCAGGACGGTAGGAGGGGGGCAATGGAAAACGAGTGGATTACGGGGAAACCGACTTTCAGTGGTAAAAGTAAAATTGCAACTCTGATTTGGGGCCAACATTTTGTGGGGAATCGTTGGAATGAAATACGTGCACTAAGAGAAAATAAAGAACATCATAGGAAAGTGAATTCGGAAAGCCGAAGACCTTGCAGTTATTAAATGAATTATATTATCGAAACGAAAATCGATCATAACTAAGCTTAAAACATTCACATTCTTTTAGATGACAATTTTTTCGTCAAATCAAAATTTAAAATACTCATAATTAAGTCAAAAATGCATTAATTTTTATTCAGAAAACGCTTCTATGTTAGTTTTCAGTAGGTTAATAAATCTGCATACTCAATTTAAAATTTTTAAATATTCGAATTTTTGCAACTTTAACACCTCAAAAGATTTTGAAAAAAATATTCGACAAGAATTAAAAAAAAAAAATTCTGTGGAACACGGCTAGATCGACTCAGCTGTTGATTCTGATCAAAAATATATATGATATATAGGGTCGGAAATGACTCCTTCACTGTTTTATAAGCTTCGGACTAAAGTTATAATACCATATTTTATCTATTTTTACGCCAATTTTTGCTAAAAATCAAATTTTAAAGAATTCATAACACAGCCAAAAAACGTTAATTTTAATTCGGAAAGCTGTTCTGTGCTAGTTTTTATCACGTTAACAAATCTGCATACTCCAAGAAAATTTTTACTAATGGAAATGACTGAAATTATAATACCATCTTTGAGTAGATATTTATCTAGTTTTTATGCCAATTTTTCCTAAAAATCAAATTGAAAAAAAGCCGTAACTAAGCCAAAAATGCATTAATTTCAATTCGGAAACCTTTCCTATCCTAGTTTTTATTAGGTTAATAAATCTGCAAACTCAATTTAAAATTTTAGAAAATTGATATTTTTGCAAATTTTTCAATCTTATATTTATTTCGAAAATTTTGAAAAAAAAATTCAAAAAATTAGATTTTTTCCGGATTTGGCTAGATCGACTCAGCTGTTGATGCTCATCACGAATATATGTGATTTAAGGGGTCGGAAACGACTCCTTCACCGCCTATCAAGCTTCTGACTAAAATATAATACTGAGCAATGGGATAAAAATATCAAAAATTTTGAATAAATTAAACTATCAGGAATGTTACTGATATTTCTATAAGTTTTCTAAATTTCATAAAGGATGTCATTACCAACGCTAGGGATTTATGTAGAATTGGTCAACTTTTATTATGTAC